TTTGATAATTGGGGTATATTTTAAGAAATACTTTTGATTGATATATATAATATAATGAGATTAGTGGTGGTGTTACAAATGTGTATTATTAATATTTAATGATTAAATTATCATTTAAGTGTATTTATTATAGCTAAAATAGAAAATGAAACATTTATAGATAGTACTCCGTATAAGACATCTAAAAAGAGAAAGTGAGACATAGGGAGTAAGGAGTAGCTTTTATGTAGCCCTTTTGTAATTGGAAAAGGGTTACATATATGATTGAATCATTAGATTCAAAGTATAAATTTAAAGATGTTAAACTAGTGAAGAAGAAGAATGTGATAATAGGACTGATGGATTATAGGGATTCAAACATATAATTAAATGGAGAGATTGAGCTATAGAGAGGGAAGAAGATGATGAATAGTAGAATATTTGTATGGAGTATGAATTAAGAACTAGCATTACAAGTCTCCCAAAGGGAGTATAAATAGACAAATAATGGGTCGGGCCGCTAATATGGGCCTGATAGGCCCAACTACATAAAAGACTAATCTAGTACATACAAATGATATATGAACTCTACAATAATACAAATGATATAAATGACATCTGATAAGCGTGAGTGGGCCGCTGTTCGGGTCCAATAGTCGTGAGACCCGGGTGTCCGAGTCTATATACTCTATCAGGAGTCCCACACTCCCTGAGTCGAGAGTACTCAAGGCAAAAGGGAGTAGAACTGTGTGCTGATCTGTCGTCGTCTGGTGAGTAAACTTCGTGAAAAAATTTGAGATGTGAAGTCCCCCGCTCTTCCTGTCCCTCACTTCTTGAGGTGAATGTAGTGAGGTGAAAAGGAGTAGAGTAGTGCATGTCTCGTGATGTCTTCAATAGGGACCGAGGGTCGATATCTTTTGTCCACATTGGGGAGATGCCTCGTTAAAAACCTCATTAGGAAAAAACCCTGTGAGAAAAAATCCTAATGAGGGAAAAAGAGTACACCGGATGCCCCCAAAATGAAGCAAAAGGGGTGAACCCTCCGGCCTGGGTGTGGAACTACAACCGTCGGCATCTGCTAAGGGGATGGCCAATATCGGTCCTCGTATGTGCGTAGCTCGGCATGATAGGTAGTCCTAGTCATCAAATAAAGATATGATGACTAAGAGATAGGTCGAGTGATCGTCCATAATATGATGTCCGGGTCATCAAATAAAGTGATCGAGACGTGTGGCCAAGAGGCCTATAAGAAGTCCAAGCCATCAAATAAAGATGACCAGGAGAGACGGCTAAGTGGCCGGTATGATGTCATCATTTAGTTGCACTTATGCATTCAAATAAAATTGTTATAATTTCTTGAGCTTATAATTTGCTATTGGATTTGGGTCTAAATTAAGTTCCCTCAAATTTCCAAGCTAAGGCTCAAGCTAGATTTCTATGCTTAGTTGAGCGTGGCACACATAAAGGATTGAACCTACCGCCAAGGGATTGCAGTTCATTTCCGATAGCTAGAGGGCACACATAACTCGTACAAAATATAGAAACTAAAGTATGCATTTGATAACATTTGGATTGGGAGCTTACTATCCACACTCGTTTGACGTGACCCGGTGGCGCGAGTGATTGTGTTCGTCCGATGTACGTGAGTGCTCAGAATTCATAAGTCCGTTTTTTCAATGTCAAAAAATACACATTATTTTAAAAATAATGATAATAAATTAATAATCTAGCTCAACTTGTCACTCAAGTTCGTAGTTGGGATCCGCTAGACGCTATTTACGAGTCTTTTCACGGATGACTCGCCCCTCAAGATTGAAGTTTGATGCTATATTATTAAAATATTTCATTTATGATTTTTTTTTGTAATAATTTTTTATCAAATATGTTCACATATTAATGGTATGGAGATAATTTAAGAATACTTAGCTTCGGAATTGGCCTTTTGTTGTGTATTGCTGAAATTGTAGCCCGTCGAGAAGCTTGTTTGGACTTTGGGCCCAAGGTATTCTGGCCCATCTCACTTGTTGCAAGCTTCCCAGGCTCGTTACTAACATTGCCATGGATTAGGGCAGTTGACCTAGTCAAATGAAACTCATGCACCAGCCAATCTAGCAAATCCTCTTTCTACCAATGAGGCTGGTGGGGCATCTTCTGAAATGCGGAGGGGCTGTACCAGATTTCCATCAACGTGGATGCAGATTTCCATCAACGTGGATGCAGCATACCGTTGTTATATCTTATACAGAGGATCAGCCGAGCAGCAACCAAGGATGGTGACCGTGAGTCTTCCTCGCTAGTACTCCGGCATCACCGGAGAAGCTTCCTCAAGCAGAGACTGACGGCTTTCGCAGGTGGATTCGGCGGCTGAGCAAAAAACGACCGGGAGTGGTTCGCCAGAGCTCTGGTAGAACCGGCGAAGCTTCCTCAGCTCCGGCGACGACTGAATTGCCGTTTAAGTTGGGTCAGCAGGGGAGTTTCGATTTGTTACTTTTGGAGCTCCTGGCGGCCATTAATGGTGGGTGCGAGCAGCCACCAACAAGACGGAACATCAAGCGGCGACCAAGAGCTTCGAAGGACGACCAGCGATGCTCTTACTGCTCCGGCTGAACAACTCTGCTGGCCAGGGAGTACAGATCCGACCGAAAAGCTCCAGAGAAAAAAAAAATCCGGATTTCTTTATTTCTTCTTTCTCAGATTTTGGAATTCTAGATCTATTTTTCCAGATTTCTTCACTCCTTGATTTTTCTTTTGATTTTTCCAGAACATTTTTGGCTCATTTCTTGTAATTTGGATGAATTTTTGGATATTTTGGGAGGAATCTAACTTGATTTTGCTCAAAACTCTCAACGAGAGCACCATTGATGGATTATAGGGATCCAAACATATAATTAAATGGAGAGATTGAGCTATAGAGAGGGAAGAAGATGATGAATAGTAGAATATTTGTATGGAGTATGAATTAAGAACTAGGGTTACAAGTCTCCCAAAGAGAGTATAAATAGACAAATAATGGGTCAGGCCGCTAATATGGGCCCGATAGGCCCAACTACATAAAAGACTAATCTAGTACATACAAATGATATATGAACTCTACAATATGACAAATGATATAAATGACATCCGATAAGCGTGAATGAGCCGCTGTCTGGGCCCAATAGTCGTGAGACCCGAGGATCCGAGTCTATATACTCTATCATTAGTAGGGAGTAAGGAGTAGCTTTTATGTAGCCCTTTTGTAATTGGAAAAGGGTTACATATATGATTGAATCATTGGATTCAAAGTATAAATTTAAAGATGTTAAGCTAGTGAAGAAGAAGAATATGATAATAGGACTAATTACATAAAAGACTATTTTAATAGATACAAATTAATGAGTACCGGAAATTCACTATATAGTATAAATAATACTCCATAATTACTTGGTGTGTGTTAACCATTGCCCAAATTGAATAATCGCAAGTAGGAATGGACCGTGGCCGGGTCAACCGGCCCAAAAACCGGCCCAAAAACCGATATTGTTTGGAACTGTACCGGCCCGCTAATCGGGTCCGGGCCCAGGCCTAGGGCACGAACCGGGGGTTTTGGACCGGGTCACGGGTTTGGGGTTCTTTGGTACCGGCCTGGGCCAAATTTTTGTTTTTTTTTTTTCAAATTCTTTGGGAGGTAAATGGGTCGGGTCAGGTGTTTTGGAGAGGTTTGGGGTGAGGAGGGGGGTAGGAAGTAATTAGAAAAGCAAAAAAAATAAGGTACCCGGCCCAGGCCAGGTAGAATCTCGGGCCAGTTCTGGGCCTTAACCCAACATAAAAAAGCCCGGTCAAACCCGATCCGGGTCCATCCCTAACCGCAAGACCAGGACTCTTAAGTCAAAATACGTTATCATTATATTATTTTCAAGGATTTCTTTTAAATGAACTTACATTTTAGGTTGGGTCATTATTCTTTTTTTAAACAATGACTATTAAAGTAATTTGGCATCATTCTCCCAATCACAAAGTACTGTAATTTCTTTCACCTCAATATAACAGTTGACATTCACAGTGTATGTGTAAGAAAGATCCTATGAAGACTCAGGTGCTCAATAATACGAAGTAAGTCACATAAAAGCTACTTAAAAAAGAGACAAAAAACAGAACTTAGAAAATCATTCTCCAATTTCACTAAACTTAGAATCCAATCACAATATGTAGAGCAGACCAAACACTGACAATGTAAGATAAACTACTAAAAAGAGATGAGATGACAACGCTTCCGCACCTGCATCCCACAAACAATAGCATACACTTCATTTGGTAGAATTAGGCCGATAATGGTTGTGATGGTTTGTATGGACGGGCTTACAGACAGATGACTTTGATCAAAGGACACATGGGTATTAAGTTTGAAGTAGGTAGTTTGTTCGTAGTAATGGTCAGATAGGATAACAATAGCAGATAGAAAGCTAGGAAGAAGAAAGAAAAAGGAGAGACTATGCTTTCATATTTGTTGTGTATGATGAGTGACAGGATGGGGCGTTGCTGGCTAGCAAGCATTGCCCTTACGGCAACCTAAAGGACCAGCATTTTGAGTGAGAGCACGGATCAAAGACGATGGCTTGGGTCATTAAAATAATTACGTAAGTTAAATTACTTACGTAGTTTTTTTTACAAGTAAATCGGTTATGATAGTATAAAAGCTGCTATTGTAAGAATGGACTAGATATTTTTGAAATGAAGTTCTTGTTTTCACCTACGAATTTTATCAATTTCAAATTGGGTTTTTAAGGTTCATTGGAACTTTGTAGTAAAAAAAGTTCATTAGAACTCTTGGAATTATTCTAAATATGTTATTGACTATGTGCCAGTTTTAGTATTCTAAAAATAATTACTTAAATATACTAACCATACATTACCCACTGGCCACTACATAAACTTGTTTTTACTTTTTAGAATGGAGTGAAGTATAAAAGCACAAAATAATATTTATATAGAAAATGTGAACTATGTATGACAAAAAATAGTATTTATATAGAAAATGTGAACTATGTATGAAGAATATCTTTAACATAATGAACGTTGCAACTTGCAAGGCGTACCTTTTACGTATTAAAATGAAGATATAGACATTTTTAAAATTTGGGATGGCCTGGCCACCCCCTAGCTACGCCCCTGATGCGGGCTTGTGATATATGCAACATCTTATATGGAGATTACACATTAAAATGTGTAGAGTTTGAACGAATAAACATCCAAACACAGTTTTACGAAACAGGAAAATAACAAGAATAAAAAAGAAATCGAGATCAAAGTACAAATTTCAGCACTAAATACACTCCTTTGGAAGGAAGTGATTCGATCTGTAGAGATACAAAGTTCAAAAGGGATTTCTCCTCATAAGTTATTTACCGAGATGGTACATGGCAATCCCTAAGAGCAATCCAGGAAAAGTCAGTAATATTGCTTCCGAGGATTGTTCTGTAACAACAAAATAAAGACAATTAGCAGTGACAGTAGTAAAATGTAATTATGTATCTTGATAAATATTGATCCGTACTAATTAATATTACCAAAGGATTGGGGCGGTGACGGTAGCCGAGCATCATCCGCTTCTTGTACTGCTCATAAATGTCATCCTCTGGGGTGACTTCCCCAGGATTATGAGCACCAACACCAAGGTTGTTGGACTTCACCTCACCTGCCGTAATCGGATCTGCAATCCCGCTTCTAGAACTTCCCAGACCTTCACCTGTACATGACCATGTGATGTGATCAAGAATGAATGATATCCTCAATACAAATAATATTTCTACCTCATATTTATATACTATCGTACTTCATATTATATACTCTTTAGTTTGTTAAAAATAAACAAAAAATTATAACTGATCCATAACCTGATAGGTTCTGTCCATCAAGTGGGCCTAAATATTTAAGGACTATCCCGGATCGAAAATACCCAATCCATTACAATAATTAAAAACATTAATATCATATATTATATTACCTTTTAAATCCCTAACATGCTACTGCTGTGGTTGATTAATGTAGAAATTTGCAGGGAATCAAGGATTGTTGATGAATTTGATGGTTTTTATATGATACGATTCTTATGGTCTGTATTTCTATATATATTTTGTTTAAAACCAGATTGGCAATATTAAACATATGCAAGATTTTTTTCCCTACCACAAAGCAGCGAAGTCTGAACCCGGCTCAAATCTTAAATGCAAAAAAGAAAAACAAAATCCAGCCCAGAACTGGCCCTAGCCCAGCCTGACCTCCCCCCCCCCCCCCCCCAACATACTTTTATATAGTTTAGTAGATTCAGCCATAGCTTTTGAGCTCATTTTCATCCATAAAGTACGAGCTCTATTACTGTTATTTTTAAGCGCAAAAAAATATAAGTTACCTTCCTTCCATCCCATTTTAGCTAGAAGTTTGTGACCAATATTATCAGCCTGAATTTTGGAGCGATCAGCAAGCTCCTTGGCAGCTTTCTGTGCGCCCACATCATTGCATGTTGCCAAGAACTTGGCAAGCTCCTCAGGTGGTATATAATCTCCCATGTGATGCCCTTTTTTTCCAGGAGCCGTGGATCCTATTGACCCAATAACCAACCAATTAGCAATTTCAACTGCAAAACAAGTGGAAGCAATATAACTAAGATAAGAACCTAGTAGGGAAGGGGGTGGTGGCATCTCGTCTTTTGATGACTTTGGAGCCCTCGATTTCTCTTCATCGGCGGCCTTCTTCATGTAATACTCCATCATTGCTATGGGATCTCCAGGTGTTGGTGGTGCTGCGGAAATTCTGGTGGAAGAATCTGATGTTTCATACAAAGCTGATGCTGGGATTTGATAATTAGACTTATCTTGATATGACCTTCGGGAACTGCTGCCTCCTGAATTAGAAGTAGATGATCTTGTGCCACCTGTCCACAACAAGCAATAATACTAAATATCATTTCAAGAACATGAGTTCAATATAAAAGATCAATTTTATAAAACATTATGTTTCTTTTGAAACATTTTGTTATACTTCTTTTTTTCTAGATAATCAGCAAATTAAGCCATTCAATCATTATAGGATTTATAGCAAGTTAGCAACACTAATGCCAAGAGTTGTACAGGAAAGTAGTTCACAAACCACTTTGAGGAGATTGAGGATCTCTGTATTTTGACAGAGCCTTTTCCTCTTCACCAAGCCGATATTCATAGTACTTATAATCTGGACAGCTTTCATCAAATAAGAACCTACAAGTGGCACACTAGTTTAGATCGTAGGCCTGTAAACATGGCATGTAAGGGAGTAAATAAAGATATGGAGTATAACAAAAATCAAAACAATACATAGGAAAAATTATTAATATACCGACACTGTAAGTTTAGAGAGTAGTAAATTACAATACTACTCCAGCACAAATGTCAGGGTTTGGATTGAAGGTCATTTAAGCATTACACTTATGACACAAGTCAGATGTGTAAAGCAAAGAACGTCATAAGGAGATACATGTAGTTCAGAAGAAGATAGTTCAATCCCTGATTTAGTAACTCTTTTACACAGTAATACTCAATTTAGTCATCAACTTATTTAAATGTCAATATGGTTATTTACAAAAATATCTGCACCCAAATTTCCCTTACCCCACCTAGGTGGAAGCCTTTGTAGCACTGGGGTAATGATGATGATGATGATGATCTGCACCCAAATTTGACCATCATACAAATTTGCTACTAAATATGACGGATAATGTTGTCAGTTCAGTAGCATGACCCAATTTAGTACTCAAATGGGTCCCCAGATTATGTCATTTGAACACAGACTCTCAGATTTGTGTTCAACTTACAAAAATTACCTTCTTGTTCAGACTGAAATATGCATGCAGACCAAATTCTGTCTAAATTGCATAGAACATAATACAAGACAAGATTGAGTCCAAAAGATTGTTGAGGACCAAGTTGCAGATGCGTACTTAAAGGGAGTGTCACCGGGATTTTTTTGGCGGGTAACATTCTCAAACTGCCTTCCATTCTTGGCCACAAAACTTGCCAATTTGTCTGCAACTTTCTTCACTGTCGGATCACTTGGTGGAGGAGGTGCTGCTACTGCATGTTACTTAAGAACTGATTAATTACCATGAGCATGAATGAACAAGTGTATGTGTAAAATACACTTTGTAGCAGCGTGCCACACTTTATTTTTTCCAAATCTTTCATTGGACATCTCTTTTCCCACGAATGATGTCAGACTTAAGTTATAAGCTGCATTCATCAGACAAAATTCAAAAGACTAATAATTCAAAATTGTTTTACCCTCTCCTATAACCATCACCCAAGTAATAGAAGCGACAATAAAAATACTCATATACCAACCCTCCAAATCTGTTGATCTCAATATGATACCAAAGACTGACTTAATACTTCATCTATCCTATAATGTTTGGGGAAAGGAAAAGTGGCACACAAATTAAGGAGGTTGAATAGTGTGGTAGACTGGTAAATACTATATTCATAAAGGATTGGTGATTTTGAACAACACGAATGAAGCCATATATCATACTCCCTCCATCCCTAATAACTTTGACAAGTTTGACTGGCACAGGAAATAATAAAGTAAAAACTATGTGGTTGAGGTTTGTGCAGAGGAGAGAGAATGAATTGGAACCACAAATTCTTTACTTAAAATGGAAAGTGGCAAAGTTAGTGGGACATCCAAAAAAGGAAAGTTGGCAAAGTTAGAAGGGGCGGAGGGAGTATTACATAAAAATTTTGGGACGAACACAATGGGAAAATGGGAAGAACGGGCTTTGTTTTTGGATTTGTCCCAAAATTATTGCTAATTTCCTTTAAAACAAATCAGCATTTGGTTCACAATATTTGTACAACGACAAAATTTCTCTCCTAAAACAATCTCGACCACAATATTCACTTTCTTAAACTCCCTGGACAGTCAAAGTGGCAATAATTTGGGGGCGGAGGTACTAACACTTTTCACTTTCAGCATTATGGCAGGGACTTCTTTTGATGCATACTAAATGAATGAGTATTGATTATTGAACATGGTAATAATCTATCAAAAGTATATAGTGTCTGCTAAAAAATTCTAGACGACAACTTGTTTCAATCTCTGTATTAAAACTATAATAAAGAATCAAGAAACTCTCTTTTCAAAAACTGGCCTTTTAAGTTGCATTAGTTATTAAGACTCATATTAATCTAAAGTAATTAGCTTATGCTATTAAAAAAATGGTTTTTTTGGAGTCAAAACTATAAAAATCCAAAAAATCCTTTGCAAAAAAATCACTCTTTGGATGATTTACTTATTAGTTTATTACTACTCTAGTTACGATAGTTTAAGGTTAGGCTGAGGTGCGCAATTCCAGAAATTGAAAAGTTGTGGAAAGCCATTAGCGCATTATTAATGGAGACAGATTCGATTCATCCCTCCCAATGGATAAGATTACTTGGCTAAAATTCAAGTATTCATTAAAAAAATAATCATTACCAACAACAGATTGCTTTGATGATTGCACAGAAACAATGGGCTCATCCAGCTTTGGCCGTTTTACTGCCACACCTCCAGAAGGATTTGCGGCATCTTTTTCATCTTCATCCTCATCTTCATCCAGCTTAACAGGAGGTGTCACAATTTTAGACTTCTGTTTCAGGCTGAATGCAAGTTTTCCACCGGAACCAGAAGGGATGGGTTTCCTAGACTCATTCCCCTTTACTATAAAGTTTGTTTTACTAATAACAATCTTGGGAGTTGAACTTCCGGACAGGTTTGAATTTACATTTGAAGCCTTTGATTCAATAGCCGTATTACCCTTCTCTTGCTCAAGCTGTTTAAACCTCTCCATGAACGAACCATCATTAACAAAGAGGCTAGGATCTTTTGCTTTCTCCATTGGCAAAACTCCAGCTTTGATTTTCTGGTCACCGTAAGATTTAACTGCTTGGCAGGCACTAAAAGGATATTTAGGGACAGAACCACATATCTTTTCGGAGAATCAAACTAATCCAAATTCCAAACCCCCACAAAAAATTACAATAATAAAGAATTATAAATCTACTCCTTAAAACTAGAGATCGACCAAAAATATTTAAGAGCTGTGATGCAGGGACACGCCAAACCTGGTGAGAAACCGAGAGTCAGACAAAAATGGCACGATTCGGAACGCCGGGATGCAACGGGGATACGCACAGGCTTCGTTTGTGGTGGAAATTTTCCCCGGCGGTAGCGAGACGATGATCAGTGGTTGTAGCCTGGATTAGATGTATAGCAGACGGAATTGATGGACGCGACGACAGGTATGCTCCACACTCGACACGGTGATCTGATGCTCAGATCTGTAGGACTCCGGGAAAGACTCTTGTTTTACGATCTTTCAGGCAATAATGGGAAGGTGGCGACTAGGGTTGCTTTTGATTTCTTTCATCTCGACACCATCTGCGACTAGGATTCCTATGAATTTCCTAGAATTCTGAGTCCCACATATAGAATTTAAAATTTCTGAATAAGGAGTAGAATATTAGAATCTAAAGATTTTAATAGAAATCCATTAATTCAAAATTTCTAAATTACTGTAAAAATTGTGAAAAATCGAGTACAAGTGATCGAGTTTTGATAAAAATATATCCTCGCCCACAACTCAAATCTCTGAAAAATAATTGTATTATTATTAGGGATATTTTGAGTTTGCACCCCACTTTATTGTTGAAATTAGATTTTGCACCCCGTTTTTGAAATCCTTAGTATTTGCACCCTAACCCCGTATGAAAAGACAAGAATGCCCCTCGATCAGAAATATGTTGAAGGCCAACAAAATTGTTAACTGAGGGGCATTTTAGTCTTTTCGACAATAAAGTGGGGTGCAAACTCAAATTATCCCTTATTATTACCTCAATTTGAATAATACTCAATAGAAATAATGATAAAAACTAGTAGAAATAGTGCATCTCAGAGGATGTACTGTTTCACATAAATTACACGAGATTCTGAGTTACTTTAGAAGCTATTACGTTTGGAAATTCTTTAGAATTATAATTCTTGTAGTAGAAAAATAGTACATTTTGGAAGATGATTTAAAGTGATAATCTTTACATAGTGAAGATGTCACGCTTTTGAGAAAATGACATTATTGTTATGAAAATATAGGCAAGAATACATGGACTCCACCTAAAGTTTTGGCAATGCATGAATTTGAAGCTCTAATTCTTTTGAGACAGAGATGTGTAGATGACCACTTGAAATGAACAAAACGAACTAAGAAGATGAAGTTCATTTGTCCACTTATTACCAATATAAAACAATAAAAATAACTAACTAGAAAAAGAGATATTTTATCACTACAATGTTATAAATTATAGCAAAAGAAGAGAAGAAAATATTTTGAAAATTTGCATTTGATGTTGTGGTGTCTCTGGTTCTCCGCGATCATTTTTAATTGATGTATGCTTTCATATTTATTGGTGTGCTTTGTTGAGTATGTTACATAGCACTCACAAGCTCAAAAAGAATGCAAAAGAACATACTACCACCGTCCCGGTGAAAGGTTCTCAATGTAAAATGTCACAATTGTTTAGACAATAATTAAAAAGGGTAATTCGAGTACATATATATTTTATTAAATAATTTTGATGGGTATATCATATGATGAATTCATTGATGATAACAGTGACATTATAGATCTATTATTTTTAATATTTGATAAATAAATTGACATTTAAGAGTGTCAATATTTCCTAAAATAGAAATGAGAACCTTTATATGGCACGTCCAAAAAATGAGAACTTTAGAATGGGACGGAGGGAGTACATACTTCATTACTGCATGCACTATTGAAAGTTTAGAAGAATCTAAAAAAAATTAAAATGTGGACAATTCAAAAGAATAAGATCAAATCATATACTTAGGTTCCCTGGAATTTTTCTCTCGGACCTCTTCATGGGAATAACTATTTTTGTGTTTTAAAGTTCAAGTCATCACAATGTCCTGAGATTGTAGGCCAAGAAGAGAAGAAAAAAATGAGTTGAGAAAATAATTCAATAAAAAATGCATTTTTCATTAGTTGACAATATATGTTTTTTTTTTCAATCATCACAATGTTCTAAGATAGTAGGCCAAGAAGAAAAGGAAAAATGAGTCATCACTTTCCTTCTTACCATAATACCCTTTCTATGTTCAAAATCTTAGTACAAGGAGTTGAGAAAATAATCGAACAGAAAATGCATCCTGCTATCATTGTCCCAAAGACATTTAATTTAACTCACGAGAAAAAATAGAGGTGAAAATTTATATTTTTCTCTTTAGCCCTGATTGTGGTTAAAAAATATAGTGCAAAAAGAAAAGAAAAAAACAAATGAAAAATGAATTATATTCTCTTCTTACCATTTCTAAATTGAAAAGCGTAGTCACAAAATTTTATGTTTTTCTAATTTGTTTTGGCATTAGTGTGTTTTAACATGTTATAGCCTAAAAGAGAAAAAAGAAAAGGACATACATTGCTATTTTTGCCTTATGCCATTAAATTCTTTTAAAATTTTATCCAAAGAAGAGAAGAATTAGAGACATTTATGACTTGTGCAAAAAGTGTGTTTTAAAAAGTTAGCTCGTGAGGAGAAGAAATTGAGTTTTCTGTAGTTGCCCATAGCTCAGGTCGCAAGATTTGAGTTTGGCAAAAACCCAAATCAAGGCGCTCCTAGTTTTGAGACAGAACTCTATTTTCATGTCATTCATGGGAATGGAGATGAGAGACTGATGGAGTATATGGCCCAGAAACCCCCGGCCCATAGACTCCTACTATTCTAATGGAGACCCAATAGGCCCAGCAAGCACAGCAGGCCCAAATCACGGCGCCCCAAGTACTAAGCAACCCACGTGGCACACTAGGGGTGCCTTCGACCCCCTGGCCGAAAGCTCCAATTCTCACAGGATGGCCAAATCAAGAAAACAAAGTTACTGGGAGAAAATGACGAAAATCAGTAGCCCTCGGCACCTAGAGCCCTCGGCACTAAGGAGATCCCCGGTACTCAAAGCCCTCAGCCAATCATCTGCAGCCGAGGGCGCCTTTCCCGACATAATATCCGCTCCACATGCGTCTGGATCACCGTACCAAGTACGACGTCACATCCAACAGCCGCATTAAATGCGGCCACATGCGATTGCCAGCGCCAACCAGTTGAGGTGACCCCTCGGCCAATGGATGCTTGACATGTGTCCCTATCTGGCATTTATTGCTACTATAAATAGCAACCCCGTTTCCCCATTTGTAACCCAGAAGAACATACGCTCACTACTTTCTCGGCAATATAATCTCTCTCTTACTTTTGCTCTGACTTCTCTCTAGTTATTCCCCGCAATAACCCCCCGGATAAACTACCCCCCGGGTACACTATCCATCATTTGGTGCTCTCATTGAGAGGTCGAACAATCAAGTAAGAAACCCTCCCCCTCGCCAAACACAAAACACCTATCTAAAATGGTGAGAACAACTCGTGCCAACTCCAAGAACGTTGAGGACAGGAACCTGGCCCTCGGCGAAGTCCCCGTCCCCGAAGCCTCTAACAGGGCTCCCGGGGGCGGCATCATCGCCGGGTTGGACCAGACGGCTGTCGATCTACGCCATCAGATTCAACAGAATGCCCCTGATGCCCACCTCGACATTGAGGCCAAGAAGAAGGACCGGAGCGAGAACCAAGTTAGCCCTCCGGTCATCACCATCGACATGCATTCAGCGTTTTCCACCTTCATCCAGACGCTCACCCAGAACCCGGGTGCCTTCGGCACTTTAGTTCCCCTCCAGCCTCAGGTCGGGGAGAATATCATGCCTCCCCCTCATCCACATCCCCTCGGGAACCCAGTCATTTGGATTGGGAACGTCGAGGGGGTCGTGGCCCAAGATACGGCCTCCCAGGAAGTCCAATCCCGGGACCGCCACAACGTGAACAAAGAACAGCTCCGGACCTCCGCCCTTGAGAGACTCGGAGGGGCGCAAGACCGCTGAGGGGTCCAAGACCGCCTCGGGGGGAAGGCGTTCCAGAGGCCTCAGGAAAGTGGCGGGTCCGTCTCCAGGGCCAATGAAAGACGTCCCCCTCAGGACAAAGGCAAGGCACCTCTCCATGCCAACAACGCCCGTTACCAAATCAACCAGGCCCACTCGGCCCGTGTCCATTCGCAGGGGGGAGGCCCTCTCGAAGGACCCCCGGGACGAAATCATTGTGGCCCTCCAGCGCCGGCTTGACGAGATGGAGGCCACCAAAGCACACGCCACCACTTATGCCCCTCATACGGACCTCAAGTATGAGGCCATGTTGGCCAAGATGGAGGAAATGCAGAGGAAGATAACTGAGGGCTCCGGGGAACCCACCATACAGCTCCGGACCCGGACGCCATTCACCCCAAGGGTATTGGCGGCCCGGATCCCGGAGAAATACCGAGGGCAGCTCATCAAGCCCTACGACGGAAAAACTGACCCCCAGGAGCACTACAGTAGATACCAAAATAGCATGATGATGGTGGGGGCATCGGATGAGTATTTGTGTCGCTGGTTCCTCTCCACCTTAGAGGGGCCGGCTTACGAATGGTTCAATCGATTGCCCGAGGGCTGCATTGACTCATGGCAAGAGCTCGCATAGCGATTCTTGACGCAATTTGCTGGAAGGCGCCGCACAAGAAAGTATTCTCCCACTTGCTCACAGTGAGGCAAAGGAAGGAGGAGACCCTTCGGGACTTCTTGGAGCGCTGGAGAACGGAGGCTGATAAAGTTGATGGCGCTGACGACGGGACCCTCCTGACCCTCCTCCAAACAGTACTCCGCCCAGGGAACTTCTCAAGGAGCCTCATCATCCCCCCCGGGGGGACCGGTATGCCGAAGCCGAAGAAGTGGAGAAATGTCATCACGTCCCCGATCAGCAATGCCCTCGGTCAGACGACAAAGGCAACCGGGGGCCGGGGGCTCCCCGTAATCAACCCAAGGATTCAGCCCCCTCCGGTGATCGCCCCCGGCACGGCCAAGCCAAGCCCGGGGGAGGCTACAACGGGAACCCGAGGGCTTGGGCACAGTCTGTTCTCCTGGAGCACCCTCGGACACCTTTGACGCACCCCGTTAGCGTCATTCTTGATTTCGCTGAGGAGAGGGGCCTGGTGGAGCGAGATTCCCGTGCACCCCCGGAAGTATATGCCATCAATCCAAACTACCCCTACTGTCGCTTCCACCGGCATCAGGAGCACATAACCGATGACTGCCATCAACTGAAGACGGTCATCGAAAGATTGATACAGGCGGGCCATTTGTCCCAATTTATTCAAGGCCCTCAGCAGCAGGCCCCCCCTCACCAAGGGCCACCCTGAGGGCAAACTGCGAGAGCAAATGCATGGGTCAACCCCAACACCACCACCCTCGGCAAGAAGAGGGAGATTGGGAACCTGGAAGAAGAGGAGGAGGAGTACCCCCGGTACCAAGAAAAGAAGCGCCACATCCTCATGATCATCGGGGGCAATACCGGAG